GCAGAAGTCCTTGTAGCCAGATGGCCTTGTTCTGGGCCCTGACTCCCTGTGGTCCCGCTTTCCTGTGCCTTCATAACCCTTGGTGCTCACCTGGTACCTCTGACATCTCGCATAGTCCTCTGCAGCTTCCTGTTTTCCAGTGAGGTGTGTAGGATGAAGGGATGGTGCCGAGGGCCTGGACCTGACCTATACTTACCTGTGCATTCTGGGAAGCAGGCCTTGCTTCCTAACAATCTAACAGAATGCTTTGGGACTTCAAACTTTCCCAACTTCTGATCATCAAAGTAGAAACATTATTGCTCTACCAATAGAGCACTAATTTGTGTGAGAGACATAGGGAATCATGTTGTTGGCAGTAACTGTGAGTGTACTGAATAGCATTTCTTCATGACTATTAGTGTGAATTTACACATAGTTATGTACATACCTCAGGACTGGGATGGAACTTGCTCAACAAATGTAATATGAAGAATTATGGTGGGCTCAGATCTTTTAAAAATTTTCCTTTTAAAAAATGCTGCACCTGGAATATAGCCAACATTTTATAACAACTTTAAATGGAGTATATTCCACGAAAATCTTCAAATCACTAATCACTATGTTGTATACCTGAAACTAACGTAATCTTGTAATCAGCTATACCTCGAAATAATAAAATGCTGCGGGGACTTCCCTGGTGGTGCAGTGGTTAAGAATCCGCCTGCCAATTCAAGGGACACGAGCTCGAGCCCTGGTCCAGGAAGATCCCACATGCCCTGGAGCATCTAAGCCCGTGTGCCACAGCTACTGAGCCTTCACTCTAGAGCCCGTGAGCCACAACTACTGAAGCCCAAGCAACCTAGAGCCCGTGCTCCACAACAAGAGAAGCCACCGCAATGAGAAGCCTGCGCGCCGCAACGAAGAGTAGCCCCCGCTCGCTGCAACTAGAGAAAGCCTGCGTGCAGCAACAAAGACCCAACGCAGCCAAAAATAAATAAAAATTTGTAAATAAATAAATAAAATAAAATGCTGCACTTGATGTTGTCCCCTTCCAACTTCCTGTACTTCACCTGCAGTCAGAATAATCTTTCTAAAACACAAACCTGGTCATATCACGCCCATCCTTAAATCCCTGCCATGGTCCCCATTACTGTCACGTGACAGTGCAGTCTCTTTTTTTCTTAATATTTTTATTTTTATTTATGTATATATTTATTTGCCATGTGGTTCAGCGTATGGGATTTTAGTTCCCCGACCAGGGATTGAACCTGGGCCCTCAGCAGTGAGAGCATGGAGTCCTGACCACTGGACCGCCAGGGAATTCCCTAAAGTGCGGTCTTGACAGGACATGCCCCGACCCCCGCTCTGCTCTTTGCCCCACTTCTCTCCATACTCCCCCTAGCACTATGCACTTTAGCCGCTCTTCTTTCCTGCTTCCTCTAACCTCCAGGCCTCATACAAGCCCTTCTCTCTGCCCGTAAAAAGCTCTCCTTTAACCTCCCACAAGGCACACACTTCTCATTTGTCTAATTCTGATGCATCTTTCCCTGACCCTCACTCAAGCCCCCATTCCCCTTAAACTAGGTCAGGGGTCTGTGATGTGTACCCTATCCCAGCCCTTATCACCCTTTATCGTACTTACATGTTTAAGTGGTCTCCTCCTTAGCAGCTCTGTGAGGGCAGGAAATGGGTCTGCCTTACTCACATTGCTGCATATAGGTTGTGGCATAGAGTGGGACTCAACAAATGTTTACTGAATTAATAAATGTATCAATGACATCTCCAAGATCTATTGAACTGTTTCTGTCAGAACTTCAAAGAGGATCACACAAAAACTACAGATACCTGAACCAGGCTGATGTAGAGAGCTATTAAAATAGATCGAGGGTTTCCCTGGTGGCGCAGTGGTTGAGAGTCCACCTGCCGATGCAGGGGACACGGGTTCGTGCCC